TCCAAAAGAGAAAGAAAAAAGAAGAGGGTCGTATGGGTTGTTTCGACACAGTGACGCATGACTGGAAGTATAACTAAAAGTAAAAGGAGAAAAGAGAGAGAAAATTCATGGTTAGGTAGAGAGACAAAGATAGAAGAAAGAAGAAGAAGAAGAAGAACAAGGAGAAGAAGAAAGGAAAAAGAAAGAAGAAAAAAAAGAAGAAAAAAGAGAAGAGAAGCTGCGAGAGACGAGGAATAAGAAGGAAAAAGGAAAAATGAAGAAAAAAAAGAAAGAAAAAAAAAAAAAAAGAGAATCTGCGAGAAAGGAAGAAAAAAAAGAAGAGAAAGAAAAGAGAGAAAAAAAAGGAATAAAAGAAAAAAACGAAAGAAAAAAAAAGAAAAAAAAAGGAAAAAAAGGGAAAAAAAAAAGAATGAAGAAAAAATTGAAGCATGACGATCAAATATGATGTTGGTGCGCCGCATGTGACAATGCGTGGTTATTCGATCATCAGTGCGTGGCATTTTCAGTGACACGCGTGTGATGGTGCATGGTGACGTTGGCGAGCAGGATCGTGTGTCCCAAGATAAAATCCGTTCTTCATTTTGCGTTGTATAATTTCTGAAATTATTTGTAAATTAATGTATATTTTCTGTTATAAACAAAAAAAATTATCCAAACGATATCCGAATTTTCTAGAGGATTATAAATCGAGTCAGAAAGGATTTTTAAAGCTTTTTCGATCATACCGTAGGTATGAATTATGTGTATTCCGTACAGAGACATAAATTATATATTTAAGTAAATGTATATATATATAGTGTATTATGTGTGAACGTTTAAAAATATACATAATGTAATATAAATATAATTAGTACGTCTAATTTGTATTTGTTTGTGCTCATGTAGTGTATATATATACGTTGTTAAGCATGTGTGTGTATATATATAAAATTATATGATAAATGAGATATTACTTGATAAGAACAGAATTGATAAAAACAGAACTGATAAGAGCAAATGCGTGAATAAATATGTATATGGTATGTTGTGTGTGATTATATATACATGTTTAAGTATGAACGTGTGTGTACATATCGATAGAGATTGTGTATGTGTGTGAATATAAATATATATTCGGTTTGAGACATGTAATGACGTTACATGCCTGTATTATAATATATGTGTGTGTATTAATATATGTGTACATATGTTATACGTGTGAGATGTATAACTAGTGTGTGTACGTGTGGAATTTGGGTACACTACACTTACTGTGTGATCTGGTGTAGATGTACGACGCACAGTGCTTACTGTGTGATCTAGTACAGTTGAGCGAGAAATCTAAGTATCTTATGCTTGCCGTATAATCTGGTATAGGATGATTCAGGAAATGGTTTAAAATGTATGGCTTTAATGTGCGTAATGATATCTTGTATTTTATGTGTGTGTTTGTATTTTATTATGTGTAGAAATTGAGCTCTTAGGTATGGAATAAGTGAATTAGGAAAAAGAGAGATTTGGAAAGAATGTGGAGTGTAAAGACCCTAGATACCTACTTATTTCGTCTGAATCGAGAAGGGGATGGTGCGTGTGTGGCTGAAGTTCAGTGGGAATAGTGAACTTGCACATGGATATGAAACCTAGTCCAAACGTGGATATGTATTTGTGAGTAGATTATCTAGCAAACGTAACTGTTGTGGCCAATGTGAGATTATGTGTCCTATCCATACGATAGGGGGGTCCTTTTTGCCTCTCTTTAATGACGATATAAATATATCGCGTGATGAAACCTTAGATGTGATATCCCAAGTGTATTATGATATTTCAAGTATAGATGTGATATCCGAGTAAATGTGTGATATTCGAGTAGAGAAATATTACAAAGAAGAATATGAATAATAAGGAAAGAATGATTTGAATTAAGTATAAGATTTCAAAAATAATATATAGAAATAAGAATAGAACATAATGAAAAAAGATTAAGATAAGTTTTCGTTAATGTTTGTTGTGTATTTTGATTGTGATACTTTGTTTGATATCTTCTTAATAATAAATATTATTATATTTTATATATTGCGTAAATGTATATACATAAGTCTTTATTATAAAATTATTTTTCTTACTGAGCTCGTGAAGCTCACCCCAATTCACCCCCCATCAAGGTCAGAAAAAGTCCAAAATCAATAGAAGATGGAGAAGGAAAACTTATTTGTTTCTATTTTATATTTGTAAATTAATTTAGATGCCTTAATTATTTATAAACAAATAATTATACAGTTACAAAGAATGTGTATTAAAGTATAGTTCTGTTGCATATTTAATATTTATTTATTCTATTAGTTAGAAATATTATGATAACGTCCGTATCCACTGATATTAGAGTTCGAGCTTTTATAGGTGATATTAGAGTATATGTTCCTTGGAACCATCCCTTGTAACACGAGGCATAGGAACTTTAGGAGGTTTAAAACCTACAGAATTTAGGAGAATGACCTTTAAGAGATGTTTTGG